ACGGCCTCAAGCTGTGCCAGGGGAGGCTCAGGTTGGCCCTGAGGAGGAATTTGTTGCTGGCAAGGGTGGTGAGGCCTTGGCAGGGGCTGCCCAGGGAGGTTTGGAGTGCCCAGGCCTGGAGGTGTCCCAGGCAGGCCTGGCCGTGGCACTCAGTGCTCTGGGCTGGGGGACAAGGTGGGGATGGGGCACTGGGGGGATCCATGGGCTGGGAGGGCTTTTCCAACCTCAGTTATCCTGGGATTCCCTGTATTTGATCCCCCAGAAGCTGTTGAATCTCCAGGTGCCTCCCTGGTGGAAGAAGTGCAGCGTCATGCTGCAAAGCGCCTGGGACAGAGGAGCAGAGCTCTGTGCTGCTCATCCCAGCCCCATCTGTCAGCATTTCACATTCCAGAGGTGTGGGAGCCTGCTGGGGGGGGGGTGGGGAAAGCCTGTAGTTCCTGTGAAGATGACCCCCGCCCCAGCAGTGAAATGGCCAGGACTGTGAAAGGCAGGGGGGGACGTGGTGCTGCTCCCGGTGCCGGGCAGGGACAGCCCCCCTCGCTCTGCCCGCAGGAACCGCCGGGTCCGTGCCCAACCTGGGAGCTGCCAACCCCGAGCTGGGGAGGGAGAGCGCAGGGAGCAGTAAAATGTCTGCCCAAGTCGAAGATAAATAAATGCAAATCGTGCCTGTAGTGAAAAATAGCCCAAATGATCCGTGCATGGCAACAGGAGCCAGGTATTGGCGTTCCCAGAGCCGGGCCGGGAGAGGCAGTTTCTCCACGTTGTCAATAATGATTAGAAATAATGAGATAACCAGCACTGGAAAATGGGAATTTCACATCGCCCCGGCTGATGGATAGTTAGGGGCTCTTAGGGAAGCTCTGAACCCCAGGACATGCTCAGTGTAAATCCGTGATGTCCCTCCTCTGGCAGTGTATTCCCCCCTTCCCGTGGTGCTCCATCCGTGACTCCTTTGGAGAGAGGCTGCTTAGCAATTCCAGGCTGCAGGAACCTGGAGGTGCTCAGGGAAACCCTGTCTCCAGCCTTAGGCAGAGCACTTTCTCATGAGCTGTGGTGTGGAACTGCAGGATTTCTTGCTGTAGGACCCTGTGGAGGCCAGGAACAGGAATGGAGTTTAGGAAAGAGTGGGTTTGCTTATGGAAGAGCCTGGTGCTCTGGGAAAACCTGGCCTGGCAGGGCTGGAATTTGAGGGTGCTGCTCCTTGCAGCCCTTCCCAGATGGTTGCTGTCATGTGGAGGGGACCAGGATGGGGCTTTGGGTGCTGGGAATGGGGCAGAGGGTGCTGGGAATGGGGCAGTGCGTGCCAGGATGGGGCAGTGTGTGTTGGGAATGGGACAGTGCGTGCCAGGATGGGGCAGTGTGTGCTGGGAATGGGGCAGTGTGTGCTGGGAATGGGGCAGAGGGTGCCAGGATGGGGCAGTGTGTGCCGGGAATGGGGCAGAGGATGCCAAAGCCCTTGTCTGGATTCCTGAGGAATCACCTGGCCTTGCCCAGGACTCCTCCTTTGGACATGGAACGGGGTTCTCCATTCCTTTTGGGAATGGTTTTGTCCTTTGTGCAGCTCTGGGTGAGCAGAGGGAGGACTTGGGGGGCAGCACATCCCGATCCCTGGGTGGGTTCCTGGGCTGTCCCTGCAGGTCTGGGCTCAGGGCTGGTCCAGGAGGGGGTTTAGGACATCACTCCGTGGCAGCCAAGGGTTGTCCATGGCCATTTCCCGCTGCTCTGTGGGAAGGATGTGTCAGGGTGGGGATTCCTTCCCCTCAGGCCGAGTGCTTTGCTGCTGGGGATTCCCCCTGCGTGGATCTGGGGGATTCCTAATCCTCCTCTCTTTAAGGATGAGCTTTGCCGGCTGTGGGCGGGGAATTAGAATTGTCAGTCCCTGCCCACGTGTCTGATCCCAAAACGTTCCTCAGAGCAGGACTCGGTCAGGGAGGGTTAAAAAAATCCCCCCAGGCCGG